CAAGAGCAACTCCGCCTTCCTGAACCACAGCTGATCTTGTTCTGGTGGGGAATATTGTCTCAGGTGATGTATGACAACCGGAAAATGAATTTTTCGTTACGGCCCCTCTCTTGCTTTTTTTTAGCGTAGCTACCGCCTAGATTGCTAGAATCTCTGTCTAAAATACCTTTGAGTACTTTCCGAGAGCGAAACTATCTTGTACCCTGCGTCCTTCCAGATAGATTACCGCTCCTGCTTTCTTCGTGAGTCGCTATTCATCTGTATTACAAACCAGACTGTTTTGTGTGAAATGAGCCTCATTGCGCTCTCATTCTCTTCTTGTCGGGATGGTGAGCGTATATTTCCTTCTCCAACCCAACCTGTCCTCTGCCTCCATCACATTGAAGGTAGAGAGAGGTATTTCCGCCTTTGTCTGGACGGCAATAGCAACATGACCGGTTGGGGCATCTGTTCCCTTACAGTTTTCTACTCCTCTCAGTCTGAGATGAGTTGTCACAACGTCCCTCCTGATCCAGATGGAAATCAGTGTACAAGCCTCAGTATTGCCTTTAACGCTGCTGTCGGCGTCGTTTTCATGGTACTTGTAATCACCAAGCATGTCAATCTTTGAACCTTTGTCAGCTTGCGAGAATTTATTTCCAAGCTCCGCCGCCGGCCACCACACCACCGAACTGGACAATATTCTAGTTTTGATGACGGCAGCGTATAGCCAATACATAATGTAGGGGTTCATTCCCTAGGTTGCGAAGATGCCACACTGTATTCACTGCTTTCTCTTTGACTCTTTTCCTTCCTTTTGTCTCCTGGTCTCCTCCTGGTGAGTAGGATCATTTCTACTCTGAAAGGATTCACCAAGAGGTTTATTTTCTCGCACCATATTTCGATGATTCTACGTGCTATCTGCATTCGCTCACTCACTGTATTCGAAAATGTGCCTGACACCAGTAATATGCACTCATCTGCGTATGCTTGTGTGTAAAAGCTTTCTGTTGAAATGCTTCCATGAGGCTATCCTTCACTGGATACCAGAGATGTAGAGATTAGGAAGTGGAAGTGATGTTCAGTCTTCAAATAAGAGATCATGATAAAAACGTTCTACTGCCCCATCACTGAAGGATCGATTATATATCGAATTAACTTTGCTCGATTGAATCTAACCAAATTCAATATCTGAAAGTGCCATTCTATGGTCTGAAAAGTTGAAGTCGAACACATAGGTAGTTACTGACAAAAAATTTACATAAATGTGATCAATACATGAGATAGTATCTGTTGTTATTCTAGTAGGCCAGAAGACAGTGTCTCCTTACCCAAACTGTGATTAGAAGTTGGCAATTTTTTTATACTTCATACTTTTATTCAAGAGATCTGAGTAAGAATCACCACACATAACCAAAATAACAATTGGTTCGAATGAATTTTCAATCGTACTATTGATATTTGTCATGAAGTAATCAAGTTCACCATTCGGTAGTCTATAGCAGTTAATAATATTGAAGAATAAATTGTTCGTCTCACAAGAAATTGCACAGAGTTCACATCTACCATCAACTGAAAATTTTTTAGTGTTCATCGATTTCACTTCCATACTATCTCTCACCCGAATTGCAGCGCCGCCACCTCGTCTGGTAGGTCGACAATAGAGAGTCGCCATCTTGAAGCCGCCTATAACCAGCTGATCAATCTGGTCCATGTTAGCGCATGTTTCATTCACACCCAAAATTTCTATATTTTCGAGGGAATTCATCATTTCGCTGTGTTGATAATCTTGCGAAGGTATTTGGCGAAAGGAATGCATCGCCATAGCTTTTTGACAGTTCTCTGCGAAAGAATTATACAAATCGAGATATTTTGATGCCAATGGCTTTGTTACTCCTCTGTAAAATGAGGTTTGAGAAGGTTGTTGAGTTCTGTGGTACATGTACGAGGATTTATTTTATATACATGCAGATCTACTGTCCTTGGGACACCTCTGATGGTTGTGTCTGCCCCAATTTTGCTTCCAATAACCATATTGTTCAAATCTCTTCTATATTTCTACTGTACGCCACTCATTATCTGAGTTTTGAATTGTTAATTTGCTGAAATCATCCATGATGTGCTTGGTTGAGATAGTGTCGTGTGCCCCTTTGATTCCATCTCGTACCTGAACAGCATCTACATATGCCTTCGACACAACGTTTTCATTAGGAATCAGTTTCTCGGCTGTTTTTTTTTTCTACTTTCCTTGGATTTCTGAGAAATCTGTGATAGTTCAAAAGGCGCGGCAACATTGCGATTTGAATTGTTACCGTTTCCATTGCTTTCAAACTTGTTGATCAAAGATACCTGAGATGAAATGGTTATCTGCTGATTGGAAATTGACTTCTCCATCTCCTGAATAACTCGCTTGTGACACTCTCATTTTCAGCATAATCGAGGTTCTTCTTGGCACTTAGCAGTTCATAGGTAACTTCATGTTTTGCTCCATGATTTTCGTTATTTGCGTCAAAATATTCCAACTGTTTATCAGATTCCACTATTTTTCGAGTTGAATCACTCAATTTCACATCACTTGAAACTTTTTTTGTTACAATCAACTCGATGAATTTGATTTCCGTTAGATTATGAAGCTCACGAATCGCCAAGTCATTGCTGGCAATGTTGCCGGTGTAACAGAAATTCCAGGTATCCCCTACATGGAATCGCCAGAGTCCAAATTACAAAAAATGTGATCGTCTACGGACAGCGCAGTAAACATGTCCTTACTAGGAAGTTTTCTGGCTTCAAAATCACTTGTAGTCCATTTTGCTACGATAACCATCTCATAGTGATGCAGTTGAAGAGCATTTTCAACAAATTGTTGGATGAAATGCCTCAAAATACCAAAGGACATCTGCCTGTTGAAGAATAGAACCTCTAAGATATTGTTGAATCGCCGCTTCCTCGTAATTTTTGAGGTAGTAAGGTATACTGAGTCAAATTCTACATTGTTGACAAATTGCTGCTATCCTGAACTGATGCAAGCAAGAATCCCAGACGAATATAAATTCCTCATCTCATATGTTGAAATAGTCTCATTTCCAATGTCCATTCAAAATTTCCTGAAACATATTATACTCGATATTATATCATTCCAGAACCCATGGCTACATGAGTTCAACTGAAAGCAGATGAAAAGAAAATGAGTAATGGGATTTTAATGAGATTTACATTCGGACTTTCCAGACTCCAACAACAGCCATTTATCAGTATCAACAATCCCGGGAAATATGCCCGAACTTTCAGTTCATATCGTGAGATAAATTGAAACCCATTTCGTTGTTGTTGTGAACTTTGATTAGGAAATTTATTTGGACTCTGCTATACACAATCGCTAAATGTGGAAACATATTTCTTCTTGAAAATTTATAACACCATTGTTATAAGTAGACGTGATATTTTTCGAGGACCTAGATTGAGTGAAGTCCATATTTCTCCGAAGAAGTGAAGAACTCACTGTCGGATAATAAATGAATATAATATAATTATATAGGAATAATTGTTAAGAGTAGACATTTTCTTCTAAGCAGTTTCTATCAAATGACTTCAAGACTAAGTACTAGTGGTTCATTCTTAAAATCTAGAATAATTATTGTAACGATTGAAAGCTTTCTGACACAATCTTTAAGTGATTATAAGGAAAAAGAAGAAAGGTTCATATGAATTCGTTATACTCTACTTGAAGAATTCATTACAATGAAATAAACAAACACTAAACTTCTCCATGATGTCATTACCTACCCAACTGAATTTTGCGGCTATGAAGGGAGTTGAGGATTCTTGAAGAGTCGTTAAAAAATAGGTTTTCACGTAACAGTTAGATGATTATTAAAGGAAGATGATGGTGTCTGAGTGTGCATCGCAACATAAATAATTTATAATTATTCAAGACTTCATGTTTATGGAAATCATAAATAGTCACAATTATGTAAAAATTATGAAAAATATGGAACATGTGGAGAAATGACAGGAAATACAGCAGTGAAGTGGGTAATAAAAATCACCAATATCATGCAACCAAGTTATGACAAGATACGCCAAGACATTTGTTGTTGAAATGATATCCTTCCGATGATTGAACGAATATTTGATCGTGAATATCAAATAATCAATACCCACTGCTATCGCATAATATAACTGGGTCATTCTCCGAAAGTTGCCCATTCCGAAGAAACTCGATTTATTAGGTTCCATATTGTTCAGTATCTGGTGGATCGTGTCAAAAATAATTATTTTCGAATGTTTCAAAATTTTTGTTGAGAATAGATCCACCAAATGTAAATATAAAATCCATTTTTTTTCCAATTTATCCGCTCAAAATCATTCCTCTGGGACGAAACTGTCATGGCAGTTGTAGTATTAACTATCAAAAACCGGTTTGAAACTTCAAATAAATCAACTTGAATAGTAGTTTTTTCGAGCTAACAACTATTTTGAACTATCCTCTGTAAAATATCAGAAAAAATCAGAATAATTCACCCTGAAAAAAAATCAGAATCTCATAACTCTGTTCATCAATCATTCCTCTGGACAGACAGAAAAAAATCGGTATTAGTGAGATAGATGCCGCTACGTGACATTCTCCTTGGAAACTAATAACTCTAACAGTCTTTCATAAACCTGATCGGATGTGCGTGCTATATTTGGCATTGTTTTCATTTATATTGGAAAACTGTTGTGGTGTTTGATAGTGTCACAAGCGGCCAACACATTCCTCTGGTAAGTACTATACATTAATTTTCGAATTAATCATGATTTTCAAAGTTTTATTACCTAATATACGTAAACAGCTATTGACCGCCAACTTTTGAGGTTAGGTTAGACGTACCGTGTACAGTTGGGCACGAAATATTATTGAAAACGTCATTCCTCTGGCATCATTCCTCTGGGTTTGTGGATCCAGAGGAATGATGCATCAGCCAGAGGAATTATATTTTTGCCGGAGGATCACATAACAGTTATTTTTTCAGATTATAAACATGCCGATTTCAAGGGAAGAGAAGCTGCGAAGAAAAAGAGAAGCTGAGAAACGAAGATATGATAGGATGAAGCAAGATCCTGAAGAAAGAGAAAAATTGAGACAGAAAGAACGCGATCAATATTCGAAAAAAAAGGAAAAGAAGATAATCAGACCTATCAGTCAGCTGAATGAAAGAGAAAAACGTGCTAAAAGAAAAGAGTGGCGTCAAACCTCAAAAACTTATAGACAAAAGCGAAAGCAAATCCAAATACAGAATGAATTTTTGGAACAAAATACTCCACCAGCATCTCCCCTTTCTGTAGAAAACATAAATGAAGTTCACCAAGTTACGCCTCAGAGTATTTCAGGCAAACGTCTAGCAGCAAGAAATAGAAAAGTGAGAAGCAGAAGATCCAAAGAAAGAGAAAAAATGATTCTCAAACTACGAAAGGACGTCGCAAGATATAAAGGAAAATATTATAGACTGAAGAAGAAAACAAAACAGAAGAACAGGCGATTTGACCAGCCTTCGCCCAAAACAAGAGTGGGTGATATGATTGGTGGGAATCAAACTCCGGAGATTGCGAAGAAACTGCTTTTTGCTGAAGCTGTATCAGATCAATTGAAAACTAATTATGAACAATTGAGAGGCGATAAAGATAAGCGATTCTTCAGACAGATATTATCAGGACCCATTATAAAAAAGTATCGGATGAAACAGGACTTACAAAAAATTGTGAAGGGCAGTAAATTGACAAAATCTTCAACAAGCGTACAGAACAGATCTGCAATGGAGAGATGTAAGAAAATTAACGCAATTTGGAAATTCTTAGAATCAGACCTCAACAGCAAAATGTGTCCAGGAAAAAAAGACTATTGCTCTAGAAATGGTAAGATAAAGCAAAAACGATATCTGAATGACACAATGTTCAATTTACACAAGATTTTTCTGAAAAAGCATCCAAATATACCTGTTAGTTATGCTTTTTGGTGTAAGAATCGTCCTTTTCATATCATTTCAAAGAAAGTTTCTTCAAGAGATACTTGCAGCTGCATGGTATGTTTGAATATGACTTTGCTGATTGGGACTCTCTCTCGATTGAATGTTATCAAAGAAAACAATTCCAATTCGGTAATATCTTCATTCTGTTGTGAGAATAGAACTGAGAAATGCCTTCTCAGAGATTGTCCTGAATGTGAAAACAAAAATATTCAATTTGAAGATCAAAATCGCTGCGAAATGAGCTTTTTTTATAAGTGGTGTTCACAGAAACACACATATTTTGATAACAAAACTAGAAAACAGAAGACAGTTGTTAAAATCACGAAACAAAAGTGCTTATGTTCTATTTCAAAAATTGTTGAGGAGTTTGAGAGTAATATAATAAAGTATCTAAAGCACAAAGGCAGGGCTTATCACCAATATAAAATAATCAGTGAGCTGAAGAAGGATCTGAAGACTAATGAGGCATTAATTCATATGGACTTCAGTGAGAATTATAATCTAAAGTATGCTGAAGAGATTCAGGCATTTCATTTTGGAGGATCAAGACAACAGATATCACTCCACACAGTTGTTATGTACACGAACGCTGGTGGAAAATTGAAGAAAGAATGCTACTGTACGCTATCAGAGTGTCTTAATCATAATGTACCAGGGATATGGGCACATTTAGATCCTATTTTAAAGAGCTTAATGGAGCAGTATCCCATTATTGATACTTTGCACTTTGTAAGTGATAGTCCTGCTACACAGTATCGCAATAAAACGATGTTCTTTTTTCTCGCTGTTGAACTATCTAATTTGTTTCCAACAATCAGGAAATTTTCTTGGAATTACTTGGAGGCAGGCCACGGAAAAGGAGCTCCGGATGGTGTAGGTGGAGTGACTAAGAGAACAGCGGACAGATTGGTTGCCCAAGGCCATGATATCGCATCATTTGATACGTTGGTAACTGCACTCTCACAAAATATCAAAGGTATAACGTACCTAACAGTTGATGCTAGCGATGTGAAGAGAATATCAGAACGACTAGACAACAAAAAAATGCCAATTTTCAAAGGTACCATGAAAGTGCATCAGGTGAAGAAAGACTTATCGCAGAAAGCCTTTCCTAAATTACTCTTCTATTCGCTGAGTTCTTTGGACGAAGATGATCATACTTATCTCCTTGGTTCGAAGGTGTATGAGTCGGCAAACCCACTATCTCCAGAAGAAGCTTCGGATGCATCAAGTGATGAAGACTTGCCATTAATTCGATATTCTTCAACTGGAACAGAGATTCCTAATAGAAAGTTAAATTCTAACGATGTATACTCGGATGATGAAGAAGCTGGTACAAGTACCGATAAGACAGAATCTATCCTTCATAATATTGTCACGCCTACTTTTGGGGGAGCTCAATACTACAGGGTGGTGTCTAGATGAAAGCCAGAATTCTTGATTCAGTTTTAATTGACTTGTCTGTCAGATGGTAAATTAACAAGTGAAGTACATTTCTAACATCATGTTTTACATAAGTTTACAAGTAACATAATCATGGCACCCCTCCGTACCCCGTACGCCGGTGCTAAGTCAGCATAGACGTCGTCGCTGGTTCTAGGCAAAGTCGTGTGGCATAGGCAGTGGCGTTCGCGTGGCAGTGGCATAGGCAGTGGCGTACGCGACACTCCCCCACGTTAAAAACATCGTCCCGATGTTTTGTCTGACACAGCGACGAGTGGTCCTCCAGGCGTCCGAAGTCGGTTGGGTCCATTTATCTGTAACAATAAAGAAGAGCAGAAACATGTTCTCTTTCTTTTTTTTTAACAAAACTTTCCTAACTAACCTTAACTAATCATACATTCATCTCTTTCATACCCTTAATACTACATATACATAATCGTCAATTTTTGATAACATGAATCAAGAAAACAAATTGCTATTTGTTGCATAACACTGCTATGCACCACAGTTGATGAAAACTTATACCTATGAGCTCAAAATACTTATAAAATAAAATATAGGCCTATACCCTTTCTTCCGGAATGTTTGACTGGATTTTTTTGTTCTTATACGTTTTTGACCCATTTTCATCAGTCTGAGTACTCATTTCTACATCTATCGATAAATTTCCTTTCTTGACAGTCTCTTTATGTTTTTTAAAAAAGTAAAATCCACACCAGATCAAAAATCCAAAAATAATTAATAAAACACTAATTCCACTAATGTCATTAAGAATCATACTAAAATCAGCTGCTTTTACAACTGGCAACGTCCCAAATCCTAGTAAATACGGATTTCTCATTATTATGACAATAACTAAAACGGCTATCAGAAAATTAACTACGTTCATAACTTTCCAACCTCCTGTATCCATAAAATCTGAAGTCCAAGTTCCTAAATGCACTGGTTTAAAATTCCAGACACCATTTTTGAAATTCGAAGAATTAAGTTCTATAGTGGGAATCTCAAAATCCCAGTTATTATTTACACATTCTGAGAGGTTTTCGAAATTCAATTGTGTATATGTGGTCATGGGCTTTAATTTGAAGGTATTAAATTTTGACCAAATAGCTGGTAAAATGTGCCTAAAATCAAAATCATTTATGCCTCTTGAATCACATGGAAAATTTTCGGCAATTAATACTTGGCCATTTTCTTGTAATGAACAGGAACATGGTAAGTTGATTTCTAATGATCCAAGCTTACTTTTTTCACTTGCATCTAAAGTTTCTATTTTTTCGGGACATTTTATTGTTAATTTTTCTGGTGAATGAGTTACGATGAATTTCTCAGGTTCAATTTGATTTATAAGCGTTTTATTATGGTTGAAACAAATAGGCTTGCATTCTGTTATAAGTTCTGAAATTTTCGCTCCGTCGGCTAGTTTCTGAAAACACACCGGATTTTTCAAACTGGTGTCTTTTGCACGTGGTAATAAACATAAATTATCTTTTCCATTGCAAGTTCGCAGCGCGTTCCCAGATATCATTTTCGTCTCATCTTCATTCTTAGCTAGCAGTATTTCACTTTCGCTAAAAAGGCACGTTTTATTTGTCCACGCAAATGGAACTAGAATTAATCTGAATAATTCCCAGGATTTATTTATCTCGCTTACCGGTAACTTTAATGTAACTACAACAGAATTTTTTGTTATAACACATGTAGCAATGTTGAGCCGCAGATATCTTGTTACATGTTCAGGTTTTATTACTAATTTGCGTCTATTTTTGATAAGCACTTTTTCAACCCGTTGCAAATCTTTTCTCAGAATAGTGGGATCTACAACTTCAGTTGGGATTCTATTATTTCTGCATTGACTAATTATTTGATATTTGTTGAAAACTTGCAACATTTCTACATTCTGAAAGGCCAAATCGATAAGATACTGTCATATAAAATTTGTGTTATTACCTAAACTCGCTACTTCTTGGGAAACTACCTTACGCATTCCTTGCATTAAATCTGAAATTTGTTTTGATGCCCTATTTGACTTTGATAACAATGATGCCATTTGAGAACTATACTTTTTTATAGAATTTATGACAACTACTAACTCCGCGTGATTTTGGTTCACAGACAAACCCAAATTACTTACAACTTTCTCAACTTTTTCTTCATCGGCAAATAACGGATCTATAGAGTGTTGTGTTGCCACAGAACAACACCAATTCAACGCATCTCCAAGAAAATCAAGCGCTCTTGACTTCCGGTTGTGACGTGCTAATGGTAAATTAGCGGCTTCTTCCCCTAGACTGAATTGTATGGCTTTCAGATGTTGCGAAAACTGTTCACCCAAAAAATGCACTAGATTGGCTCTTGAACACATCACCTCTCCCTCGTATGTATTCATTGGGCATTCCTTATTATCCGGATACAATTTGGAAGACGATTCTGACATTAAAGGAAATTCTGCTGAATATACCAATGGAACTGAGGACTGATAAATCAGTACATTGGAAAGTTTAGACCAGTATGCTCCTGATACGATGCTGATTTCTTTCGAGTGTACCTCGCCAAAACTAATAATCATTAACGCGACTGCTACGACTATGACTGTATGATTTGACCAATAATTTCAATAGGTTCGGAATAGTTAGTTTTTAGATGATAAACTTCACAACAATTCAAGTTTCTTTTAAAAAATCGACACGTCGCTCGTTTGTGACCTATTTTATAACAATAAAAACATGAGATCAATAAATTTTGAATAATTTTGCTCTGGTTACAGCCACTATTTGAATTTAGTGGCTGGACCACTAGTTTTTTGGACAATTTCGAGCATAATGCCCTGTTCTGTTACATTTGAAGCACACAATGCGCCCCTCTGGCGTACGTGATTCTTTCTTGATTTTTGACTGATCATAACTATTTCTGAACCCGTTGTTATTATTCCTATAAAATTGGTGCGAAACTGACCTGTTTTGCTGACGGTTTCCCTCTAGTTGTTGAATCCGTCTCCTGAGGTCCTCTACTTCCTGCTCCGCCCTTGTCCTGTTGCGATGGTCCTGGCTCTCGTTTCGTAATGTGGGTGTCCTGCTCGCTGATGGTCCATCGCTGGCTCCAACCATAAACTGCGTTACTTCAATCTTCTTCAAATTTTCCCGGAACTTGACCATGGTATTATTATCCATTAAGTTCACCTTCTCCAGTATGCTTGGTCTAAGGCCTCTCAAGATAAATCCAATCTTCTCGTTGTCCGTCATCGCACCATTAACTTTATAGCAAAGTTTGGTGATCTCGTTGAAGTATAACCAGATGTCTTCTCCTGGTTGCTGCTTCCTGTTCAGTAGCTTAAAATAGCATTGTTCCGTTTCCGTTACATTTTCAAACGTTGTAGCTAGCTTTTCAGATGCTTCTTGGAAAGTCGTACAAGTTTCCTCGAAAGTCTCGAAAAATTCTAAAGCTGGTCCTTCCAAATAGCAGGGTAGTTGGAGCAATTTGGTTTCGTCCGACCACCTATTTGCCCTAGCAGCTCGCTTGAAATTTTTCAAAAATTCCTGTACACTCTCATGTGGCTTACCGGCAAATACTTTCGGGTTCACCGAGGTGTAGACTTCTTCCGGAGTGTCTGGCATGTCTGGAGTTTCTTGCTCACGATCCTCTTCTTCTCTAGTCTGCGAATAAATTGAAGAATCTGAACTTTCTTCCGAGTCTGATGTAGTTTCGTTCACTGTATTTCGCTGTTCTTCCTCGGATTTTTCCTGGATGCTTCTGGTCTTGAGCCTGGTTAACATCAATCACTTCTCACAGTTTTCGATTCAAAGTCCGAACGTTCAATTTAGTTAATTTTCACTTTGATTTACACGGAACTGCCGGCGCTTTCACCAATTTGTCACGCCTACTTTTGGGGGAGCTCAATAATACAGGGTGGTGTCTAGATGAAAGCCAGAATTCTTGATTCAGTTTTAATTGACTTGTCTGTCAGATGGTAAATTAACAAGTGAAGTACATTTCTAACATCATGTTTTACATAAGTTTACAAGTAACATAATCATGGCACCCCTCCGTACCCCGTACGCCGGTGCTAAGTCAGCATAGACGTCGTCGCTGATTCTAGGCAAAGTCGTGTGGCATAGGCAGTGGCGTTCGCGTGGCAGTGGCATAGGCAGTGGCGTACGCGACAATATCAAAAATGGAACGTTTTTGTTGGTCCAGCTCAAAACGAAAAAAGTGAGCTATAGATATGTTGCTGTCGCGCAAAATGAGATTGAAGAAGACGGTGAGGTTCGAGTTATGTTTCTAAAAGTATGCGAACTCAATAGTAAGCAGGTATTCAAACCAAATGAAAGAGACATCTCATATGTGACATTCGATGATATACTAAATGTTTTGCCAACACCATCCATGATTTTTCATGATAACAAATTATTTTATGAGTTCAATATGGGAGTTGATGTTTTCGAGAAATGATCTGACATTATTTGAATGTATTTTAATGTTTTGCTGATGAACAAGAATTATAACAAAACGATATCGTCATTCCTCTGTCCACACCATCATTCCTCTGGCACTACTTTTGTTTTAAATGCTAGTTATCGATGAAAATCGAAAAAATCTGTTTGATCTTCAAGTTTTTATGTTGTATAATTTCAATATTGACCTATTTATAGTTTTGTGGTGATACATTTGTGGTTACAATTGAAAAAAAAAAGTTGTTGTGAAAAGTATCATTTCTGGAGAATGACCCAACTATGTGTGAGCAAGCAGAAGGAAACATAAGCGTTATGTTATAATCATGTTATATTAGGTCCGGCAGGAAGGTATGGAAGATTTGAAAGTGGTGCCAGTATGGTGAATATAAATTCTATGTTCTAGGAAAAGGTGTTCGTTCACAACACCTCGATTGAAACAGGCCGTTCAGTGATTTAAACACAGAGACGACTCTGCAATCATTTCAATGTTGGCCGTAATGGTCGAGTTCAAGAATTCGAAACAATTATAAAGTTGGTGGATGCCTTTCAAGAGGAGCATTGAGTACTTGCTTTTTCGAGAACATGATGATCATATCCACCGTAATCGCGCCACTTTCAAATCTTTCATTCTCTCCTGACGGACCCTGTACACTGAGAAAAGTCGGCCTTGTAAATCGTTTTCTTAAAAAAATGTCGATTGTGGCAAGAACATTTCCTACAACGATAGGAAAATAGGGTACTTGTATTTCGCAAAACAATATTCATGAAAGAATGTTTCTGCTGTAAGTGATCAGGACACTTGTGAGTATCAGCCACATCGATATGTATTTTGAGGTTGCTAATCGAAAGTGAACACTAAACTAGTGCTGGGTTGATGCCCAGGTAACAAGCTGACGTCATTTGTACGTCAATATATGGTCATTTATGGTCATTGACGTTATATGACCTCGGAATGACGTCATTTTGACGTACTTGATATGACGTTATATAGACCTTGATGTGTCGTCAATATGACGTCATCTGATGGTCATTTTCATGACTAAATAACCATTATTCATTGAGTCATCTGCATCAAGGAAAATTCATAATCAAGAAGTTTCCCATCTCTGTTATATGAAAACGTTAGTAGATATGTTATATAACATATATTATTATGTAACTCATCATATTATGCTTCATAATAATTTTTCCTTTTATCTGTGCGAAATGTGTGTTTTCGATGGTCTCTGAGATAATTGTTAATTATATACCTTCTGTGCAAAGTATTCTCCCCATAGCTATTAAGAATATAAGACCGAATTTCAGGTCATAAAAAGCTTATAACGTTGTTAATTATTCCGGAATGCGAATTCAAATCAGAGCGGGAGAGTGCGTAGAGAACTGTACTTGATTGGTCGGCACGGACCTTGCGCAGACATGCGAAAGTCGACTGCCAGCGCCAAGCGGCCCAAGCCGTTCACTTTCGCTTCGCCGTTGCGGCCATGATGACCATAACAACAAAATAACAATACATAGAAGGCCATCATTATCATGTTATTCGGTTATCAATGTGGTGTGGTGTGGTGGTCATACTTATTCATATTCATGTATCAAGTAGTAGAATTTGAGGATGGCAGCATGGTCATGATTTTAGACAAGTGGTGTATGCCGAAAAAGCAGAATGTGAATTGGACGCCATTGAAGGAATACCATAGGGCTCTGAGAAATCTCTCGAGTGCATCATTTGTTTATACGTCCATGGCATCATCCGAATTGGATCAGTTCCCAATAAAAACAACATTTTATGAAACTGGTAATTATAGTACTGGTAAAGAAACATCAATATAATTATACAAAAAAATACTCATCTTTTCTGATGATATTGATACAACCCTAATACAACAGTGTTTTTTTTAATCTACAGAAAATTTCGAAATACTTACCACAAAATAAACTGAAACATGCAGAAGATTTCAGTGATATAAATAATCACGTCATTTTGCCGCCATTAGGATGTCGTCATTTTGACGCCACTAGGATGACGTAATTTTGACGACATGAAAATGACGTCATTCGTCTTTGACTTAGAAGGTCATATAAACGTCATTATGACGTCATTTTGGAAGTCATCCTGACGTCAGGCCTGACGTGATAATGACGTACAAATGACGTCAGCTTGTTACCTGGGTGGATACTCACTATTATTGAGGTATTATCCTGAGATGAAATCACTTGCTCTGAGTCGACTCAGCGATGGAGACAATCTATCGAGTCAATTGGTGCAAGTGACAGCTCACCTGAGGTAATACGACTCTTTTCCGTTTGGACATCTCCGATATATTATTTGTATGCCCACAACCAACCCGACCACTTCCACTGTCCACGGCTTCATCATGATCTGAGCATTTCTGAAATATACATGCGTTTTCTTTAGTAAAATTGAAGTTACAAGTCAGGCATGTTCTCAGTTTGTGTGCAGTGGAGTGTTGATTTTTTGATGATCTGTTATTCTCTTGAAGAAGATGATGGAATACATAACTGTTCCAGAACAGAACATAATTGTTGACATCATATAAAGTTTTTTTTTTTTCACTTTCGACGATACTCTGGTGGGAGAAAGTGATGTTCAATCATTAGTTGATTTCAATTCAACTTTTTCATCTCCAAAAAAGAAGAAAAAGAGAGTGTACCAGTGCATTGATGATGGACCGTTTTTCTTAGCGCATGATCCTGATCTGGTGTTTCACTATTTGTCGGATGATCGATCATAGCTATACAATGTTTTGAATGTACGAGTTTTTGTCCCATATTTCAGAGATCAGTATTTTTGGAGTACCTCGCTAATGAAGGTAAATACGTTACTGATGACAGATGAATGAGTAACTAATCGCAAATGAATGAGACATTAATGGATATGAGTGGATGAGTCACTATAACATGTTGATGATTCACCAATGAAGAGTGCTGTGTTCACTGATGATAATCAATCTGAAATTCGATGGAATAGGTTACTAGTGGTAGATGTACATTTTGAAGAAAAAAAAATCACGTATTTCCCAGATCCCTATGAGATATAAAATGGTCAAGGAATATACTAGATGAAAAAAATGATTTTCCATTAATGGTGATGGTGACCATACCCTAATAGCACACAACGTCCTAGGGACGTCCCTATTTGGTACAATTCACGTCCGAATGTCCCGAACCAAAAATAAGTGTCCTTGGGACGTCCCATCCCGTACATCTCATGCAATGTCCGAGCAAGGACGTCCACTGGATGTCCCAGCTGGTACATCATTTCAAATGTCCCAGAAATAGCATCCCTCAGACGTCCCACGTGGTACATATTGTAGAATGTCCATGCAAGGACGTCCTTGGCATGTCCCTGATGGGATACGATTTTAAACGATCCTTTAGGGACATCCATCGGATGTCCCGAGTAGTACATATTCTGGCATGACTTCAGATCTCATATGATGTCCCTTCTTGACAACCATGAAATGTCCCTGATGGTACATTCCTTCAAATATCTCTGCACAGACGCCCTTAATATTTCCAGGATCGTATAACGATCGAAATGTCCCTTAGGGACATCCTTCGAATGTCCGTCGGATGTCCTAATTGGTACATGAACTGTACTCTTCCAATGTCCTAGAAATAACGTCCTATGGACGTCCCAGTCGGTACTTTCAATATGTTGTCCCTGCGAGGACGTTAACTTAGACCTCGCCGACGAATGATTGCTCGTAGGCTATAAGTACTCCTTGTCAATGTCCTTCACGTAAGTCCATTGGACATCCTTGGGAAACTTTTTGAGGACCTTCTACGGACCATCAACTCAACTGGATGTCCTTATCAGTTATGCAAGATCTGGTCCTAGAGGGACCCAGCAAAATTCAAATTCAAGAATAATTCGTTCGTCCCTGGGACATCCAATTGATATCCCTTAGCGTTGATGATGGGTTGTCCTATGGATGTCAAAAGGATGTCCTCTGTAGTGCTTGATGAGTAATACTGTAGGATTAAGGTATCCGATAGTCGTCCCATGGACATCCCTCAAGGACGTCCCTTGTTGGTCCTCAAGTGGGACATTTGTGCGTCCCACAGACGTCCAATGGACGTCCACGGTACCAAATTCGTACGTCCTATGGACGTCCTGAATGTCCCGACAGGACGTCCTAAGGATATCCATGGGACATAAGTGTGTTATTAGGGTATAGCTTCAGCTGCAGCATTCTCTGGGTGAAATTCAGGTATCAGCCTTCTCGACTTCAAAATAACTGCAGAAATATGGTCGCATTGCACAAGATGGAGGATGCCTTAGCAACTCAATTCATGGTGAGGATCAAGGTGCCACGTGGTGGTGACCACGAATAATGAAGAAAACTCAAGCCATTCATGATTTCGTCATATGGTTATCAGGCAACTCAAATATTTGGAATTGACATTCCCCATTCAATAATCCCCCAAAGACCCTTCGAAAGTAACGAAGAATACCGGTTTGGTATTCTCATGGAAATTACCGGTTTTCTGAGGAATGAAACCACTAGACAAACAAACCTCTCAAGAAGGCCTCATGAGGCTACAAGTGGTTAGCGATCGGCCTTTAAGAGACTATTCTGATTCATCATTTTTGAAACATTGTAGAAGGTCCTAATAAAAAAAAACAGTGCATACAAGTGCAATATCTAGGACTGATCTATTGATCGAAACAATGACCAAGCTGATCAAGAAAGATAGTACTCATCCTGTTTCAATTCTATCGAAAAATGGATTGTTTCAAACTACGACCATTTGTCAGGATTTCCTGAGTGGCAGTGTGGCAAAGTCCTATTTATTGACAACTTCGACAGTTCGACAAAATAAGACTGATGAAAGGATCCCTGGATGATGATTAATTGGAATTGGCAACAACAGAATCAAAGTTGAAATCACGTTGGAGAATCCAAGAAGAATGATTGGCTGATTTTCTTCAGCAGCCTCTAAACCGGACTTGTTTTCACCTAGTGTGCCTTCTGGAGTGTGTTCCTATATATTTTGATAGAACAATATTCGCGGGTTCTTTATGCATTTATGCATGATTACAAGGTTGAGGTGTACTTTGACATGCGCAAACGGTATGCTATTTTTTCCGTACCATATGTATAGCACAAACATGAAAACTTCTTGAAGGCAGCCTGTTTTCAAACATGGAAAAAGTTCTTCTTGGGTTCACGCAATCGGTATGCCTGTGTATTTTCAATTATGCATATCACTTATATTTCGAATCGAGACACACATAGCAAGAGTGAAATCGTATCTATACGGTCGATTTCCGAGCAAAATATGATAATAACCTACTGTAGAAGTCCATGTTGACTCAAAGTGGCGTGAAGTAGTTGTAGAAGTAGTTATAATACTCCAAGTCGTCTCCACAACGTTTGACATCATCAATCATCAGATCATGAATTGAAAGAAGACATGTTTTGGATCTATAGAGTATCTATCATCAGCCGATTGAGAAAATTATTCTATAAAGACCAAACCAACAATGATAGGGTATCAATGGTGAAATATTGTAGTACTCACTGAAGCAAAATAAAGTGTTTTTGAAATTACAAGAAGTTACAAAAGAGTTAAAAAAAAATATAATTTCATAAAAATCTGAACTTTTGTTATATCAGATTTTCTGAATACCCCGATGAGCTGGTGTAATCGCCACATTAGGAGGCCAAGAGACATTCAAAAACGAATAAAAACCTTCTTCCACTCAATGAGAAAATCTATTTCGATTGCCAAAAACTATTCAATGCTTTGGTCTCCAGTGTAAGTTTCTTTTTCATATTCTAAGGTCACTATCCACAAGCTTGTCATGATTTTCATGGAACCAATTTTCTCTTGTCTTGCATCACCGTTGACAGCTGAAGTTTCAGTTGTTTGTCAGAGTTGGGTTTGACATTGACATTTGCTCACATGGTATCAAGTTAATCCAGCGAGATCAATATGATAACGTTTTATCATTTTTTTATGTCTTTCGGTCTCCTAATGTGGTGATTCTACTGGCTAATCGGAGCACAGGATCCCTGTTCAGAAAACCTGTTATAATAACAAAAGTTTGAATTTTCATAAAATTGTATTTTTTTGAAACTTTTTGAAACTTCATGTGATTCCAAAAACACTTTTTCTTCTGCTCCACGTGAGTACTACAATGTTTTACCATTGATACCCTTAAATTATTGGTTTGTTCCTTGTAGAATAATTTTTCCAATCGGCTGATGATGGATACTCTGTAGATCCAAAACATGTCCCCTTCCTATTTATGATTTGATGATTGTTGATATTAGACGTTGTGGAGACGACTGAGAGTATCATTACTATATGAAGAAATAATAATTTTATTATAACGATAATAATCAATTTTCATGCATAGAGAACCCAGCAGGATTCTTTCATGTATCATGTTCCAATATCAGAATATATACATAATTATACCTTCCAAGAGGCACACTGGGTGCAATCACTTCCAAAATTATTTCATTATACCTACACATCTAGTTGGCTGACTGGTGAGTCAAGCGTTTTTTATTGATCAATTGACTGTACAGTGTGTCTAGTTCAAGATGCTTTCGTGCGATATCCCAGTTATCTTTGGAGATAGAGTGTTGCAGTTTTCACATTACTTTCTTACTTTGTTGTGAAACGAAGAATGATATATAAAATTTGCATGTCACGGTGTTTGATGCCGAATTTCTCTGAGAGGGTTCGACCAATTCATATGAAAATTCTTGAAAATATTAGGTAGGACGAGAGTCGGTTAGAAGCTTTTTTCAATTGGAAATTCCAGATTGCGGATCTCATATGGTCACCGAGTTTCGTGATTAGGAATAGATTCTGATCAGAACTGGTATCTGGAGGTTTTCGGGTTTGAAGATTGTGATCATTTTGTCCAAATTTGAAAATTCAAGGTAACATAACAAAATAACATCCTAAGGTTATAGTTCAAAACTTGTTCGACTGACTTGCGCTAATTTTCCTTTCATTCCTATATGTGTGATGATGGAATCAATAGTGATAATTATCTTGACCAGACTAGATTGGGATTTTTCTTTTCATCAACAATGACATTCTGAGGTGATAGTTCAGTGATGAAACTAGCTTTCATTGATGATTGACAACGAATAATTGAGCATGCCAAGTGAACAGGAAAGCTCCGGCCGAGAAGTTCGCTCACGGCCGATCCTAGAATGAAATAAAGAATTGTTATCGTCTTCGATAGTGAAAGTCTCCCTATCATAATTGTCAATGAATCACTTCGGAAGAAAAGAGTTGATAGGTGAAATATAGAGAACTATGTATTATTTATTGCATCTTGTCTCTAGATCCTGCTCATTTGGGATGCCACAGATCACAGATCAGAGAAAACTCGACTACCGCAAATATATTCAACACACATTACGCTTAGCATTATTAGGGTCGTAACATTCAGAACGATATCGATCGTATTTTTGCAGAAGGGCAATTACGCCATTTTTGCGATCTTGGCATTTTCGCAGGAAATCATAGGTTTGGGATATTGGTTCAATGTGGCAAAAGGACTATTGTGTTTGCTTGATGATGAAGTTTCCATAGTGAAAAAACAATTTCACATCGGGGCGAAGGTGTTCATTATTTTTTCGCAAAAGGGCAAATGTGGCGAATGTTAAATGCAAAAGGACGAATGTGCATAAACGTCATATAAGGGAACATAACATGTCTCAGACTTGAATGAGTCAGATTGTCAGCAGTACTGTTTTGCACTGAAATCGGCGAGAAAATCTCTGATACAGCAGAATATATAGCGAATATGGCTCGTGAATGTTATAATAAACAAATTACACTTATGAGCCATATCAATTTGATGGGGAAAAATGGCGATGAAGAGACTGAGAATGTTACAGATGTTTGTGGACTTACATCAAGCAGTGTTGACTTCAACACAGACAATAGTTGCCATTATGCCTTCCACAAATATGCGAGGAAACAAATTTTTCAAAAGAAGTAGTGTCCACTGGAATTAGTGCATTTTCGAAATGGAATTTACTCATGATATGATCTCGAGTGATTCAAAGGCTGTGGAACATGTTATATTCGACATTTCTCTTGATATATCGAACATGAATGTGGTTTCAAGAAAATATATAACCAATAGTTAGACCAGTAGAAAAAATAGCAACATACCCCTTAAATAATTCAAATGAAGCAAAAGAAGTTTCATCTGTGAACAACAAATGCAATAATTTCAAAATTCTCAATACTAATATTTGTAGTGTCTCAAAAAATATAGATGAATTTAAAATATATCTTGAGGAACTTGAAGCATGTTTCGATTGTATAGTTTTGACGGAAACTTGGCAAGTTCCGGATACCTCCTTCCTCAATATGACCGACTACATAACCATATATAACGGAGGTAACTATAACCAAAACGATGGTGTTATTGTCTTTGCAAAAACCAACTCATATCATTCCCATGAACATTTTGAGATAAATGGAAGTAAACTAATCAAAATTGTAATGACTATAGATAAGTTGACCTTTTGCATCTACGCATTCTACAGATCACCAGCAAGTCGAATTGACGACTTTCTTGACCAGCTTAATAAAATATTAGATGAAGGAAATAATAAATATCATAACAGCTTATTTGTAGGTGATATAAATATCGCTTCACTGAGAGAAACTGAAGACTCAAGAAATTATCTCGACATGATGAGTGAGTATGGCTTCCATTCAACTATTAACACCACAACAAGAACGAGAAATGGATCTGAATCATGTCTCGATCATATATTTATTAAATCAAAACAACAAAACTTCAATAATATATTACCTCTTACTATATCAACAACAATCACAGATCACTACATAACGTTATTACAAATTGTTTCGAATAAAACAAAAAAATATCCAATGAATGATAATAAAAAATATTTTCAAAAAATAGACGAAAAATTATTACAAAAAACAATAAGCTCCATTGATTGGAAACATGAACTTTATCCAATGCATGATCTCGAATTAACAACAGAAAAATTTATTAACATCATAAACACATGTGTACAAAAATCAACCAAATACTTTAAAATAAAAAACAGTGAACGAAAAAGGAAAAATTGGATAACAAAGTCATTGATAAAACAAATCAACAAAAAAAACCATTCCTTTTTCTTATGGAAGCAAAATCCAAATAATGAAAACTTAAAAAATGATTATCTAGCGAGAAAAAAAGAAACGGAGAAAAAAATAAAAACTGCCAAAGACAATTATTATAAAAAATTAGTAGAAAAAGAACAAAATGAAAGTAAAAAACTATGGAACACTGTAAATGGAATCTTGAATATCAAAACAGGAAGAAGAATAAGCAATATAAAAAATGAAAAAAATGAGATTGTCACAGATCCAAAAGACATTGCTGATATTTTTAATAACTTTTTCGCGAATGTGGGAGAAAATCTGGCAAAAAACATAGGACAAAATCCCAACTACAGATGTAAAAAATATATAAATAAAAATTCATTTTTTCTCACACCAACAAATACTACCGAGGTTGAAAATACAATAATTAATTTAAAAAACAA